CTCAGACTTCAGCTGCCAGGACCGTGAGAAAATTAATATCTGTTGAGGTACGAGTCTGTGGTACATTTTTATGGCAACCCTAGCAATCGAATATAGCAAGTACACAGATGAATTTTGTTTATTTTAGATGCTTGTGGACAGTATATTCACTTTGAAATTACATACTTAATACCTGATTTTTGTAAAAAATTTTGGAAACAGAAAAGAAAATGGGAATGCTTGTGGACAGTATGTTCACTTTGAAATTACATACTTAATACCTGATTGTTGTAAAAAATTTTGGAAACAGAAAAGAGAATGGGAATTTGATGAAACTTCCATTTCACCCTCCCTCCCCACTGGTGCATTTCCTTCCAAAGCTTCTTAAAAAACAAAAATATACACATATAAATATATAAAAGTTTTTGAAGTGGATAACATATAGCCTATAGTCAACTTTTTCACTAAATATATGTCACCTTTGCTCTTCCATTTTAATAAATATAAATTTAACTTTAATGCTTATCTAGTTCTCCAATATGTAAAGGTATCATAACTCAAGCAGTCCTCTGTTGTTTAACAGCTAAACTTTTTTCTGGTATTTACTCTCATCTGATAAATAATGCATACCTGTTCAACCATCTTTGCATTTTCCTATTGCTTCCCATAGGATAAATAGCTAGGAGATAGTTGTATCAAAAATGAATGCAGTTTTCAGACTTTTTTTTTTTTTTTTAGTTTTTGCCTGTTTTAGAGTTTTTAATATTTATTTATTTGGCTATGATAGGTCTTAGTTGTGACTTGGGGGATCTAGTTCCCTAACCAGGGATCAAACCTGGGCCCCCTGCACTGGGTGTTTGGAGCCTTCCCACTGGACCAATAGCAAAGTCCCAGTTTCCAGACTTTTGATACTTTATTAAGGAATTCATTTTGTTCTCCACCTTATCCCCCATACCTCAAAAAAGGCTCAGCACAAAATACAGGCCAATCAATATCTGTTGAATTAATTAATTTTGCCAAATAAGGTAGATTCACTCTTGACATGCCATTTCTAAATCTATTTTAAGATTCCAGGCTGGTTCATGTCTATGTCTGGGAAAAACCACCACAATATTGTAAAGCAATTATCCTCCAATTAAAATAAATTAATTTTTAAAAATAAATAAATAAATCTATTTTAAGATTCTATAAAATTAAAAGTTATGTAAATACCCAAAATTCATGGTCAGTCAGAGACTGGTAGAAATGAGGGCCCACTGGTGCCTTCAAACTCATCGGGGAATCTTACCTGGCATCTGAACCAGAGTAACATCTCTCCTAGGTGATGTCGTTCTCAAAAATCTATCCTTTTGGCAAGGTATGGACTTGGAAAGAGTGGAAATGGATGGGCTTAAATCAGTGGTCACAATTGGAAGAACAGAACAATGAACTGCAGACACACACACACATGCATACGCACCCCACCCAAGCTCGACTTACTACCAGACTTAATGCCTCTGGCTTAGTCCATTCAGGCTGCTATAATGAAATACCATAGACTGAGTGGCTTACACTTGATAGGAATGTGTTTCTCACAGTTCTGGAGGGTGAAAAGTCCAAGACCAAAGTGCCAGCTAATGCAGTGTCTGGTGAACTTGCTTTCTAGACAGCTATCTTTCCACTGTAACCTTACATGACTTGAAAAGTGAGAGAGCTCTGTGGAGTCCCTTTCATAGGAACACTAATTCCATCATGGGGGCTCTACCCTTGTGACCTAAACACCTCCCCAAGGATCTGCCTCCTAATGCCATCATATAAGGATTAGGTTTTAACATATGAGTTCTTGGGTGAAACCCCCTCTTCAACAGAGATAAGAAAAGCAACCCTTTGTCTGTAGCAGTAGGGTATCTTCATATTAAATATGCCACTCGTCTATTTCACTGTCCTGAAATCCGCAGATAGCATGGTCAACCCACATCTTCATAAATACTCATACTTGCCTACAATAGAAGACGTCAGTAAATCTGATGTGACGATGCTTGCCTTCCATGTATTAAAACTCCAGGAACAGGACAGTTAATACTGCAGACTAAAATGGGTGTGTTGGGACTTCTCTGGCCATCCAGAGACGACTCTACACTTTCACTGCAGGGCGCACAGATTCGATTCCTGGTTCGGGAACTAAGATCCTTCATGCCCTGTTTTGTGGCCAAATAAATAAGTAAATAAAATGGGTGTGTTGCATTGACAACTTAAATCCCATGAGAGTGTTCCCATCAGTGACAGGATTTTCAAAAATGGTGAGAGTTCTTGGTAATGCTCTCACAAAAGACAATGCAATGTTCTTTCCATTGACGTGGTTACCCAAATAGGATTCACTGCATATCGAAAGTGTGTACAAAATAATTTGCATTGCATATAATGTGGAATTCAGGTCTATGACTTGATCACTATCCACAAATTTTTCACCTATGTGAATGATCAACAAGACATTCAAAAATAATGCGGGCTGGGGGCCAATTCTTCATTGCGAGGGAAACCTCACTCTTTGAAGGGTGGCTAGCAATGCAAACATCTACCTCCTAAGTGCCAGGTATGTCCTCAGTCATTGTGACTACAAAGTCCCGCAAAGATATGAAGAAATTGGAACCGTTGTGCATTGCTGGTGAGAAAGCATCACAGCAGTTCCTTAGAAAACAAAATAGAACATAGAATTACCATATGAACCAGCCATTGTACTTCTGAATACACATCCAGAATAACTGAAAGTAGAGTCTCCTTCCTTTGGAGAAGGAAATGGCAACCCACCCACTCCAGTGTTCTTGCCTGGAGAATCCCAGGGACAGAGGAGCCTGGTGGGCTGCCGTCTATGGGGTCGCAGAGAGTCAGACACGACTGAAGCGACTTAGCAGCAGCAGCAGGGTCTCAAACAGATACTAATACGGCCACATTCACAGCAGCTTCATTCACAGCAGTGAAAACGTGGAAGTAATCCAAGTGTCTACCTACCGAGGAACAGTCAACACGTGGTGTATGCCTGCAGTGAATTGCATTTACCCTGCTTTTAGAAAGGAATGAAATTCTGATACATGTCGCAGCAAAGGTGAACCTTGAAAAAATTATGCTAAGGGACACAAGCCGTTCACAAAATGACAAGCACTGTGTGATTCCATTTCTACGTGGCATCTGAGTAGGCAGAGGCATAGAAACAGAAAAGAGAACGATGATTATAAAGGACTGTGGGTGGACCGAGGGTTAAAGTCCAGTGGATCCAGACCCCCAGCTTGAGAAGATAAAAGCTCTGGGAATGGTGGGGGTGACAGTCATATGACGCTGAGAGTACTCGGTGCTGCTGAACTGTGCATTTAGACGTGTGTAAGGTAGCGAGTTTTGTATGACGTGTATTTTACCACACACACAAAAATGAAAAACAAAAGACATTGATAACAGAAAAAAAAAGCAAATAACAGCGAAAAAAAAAAGGTCTTGCAGATTTCCAAAACACTCCAAGAGTGGAACTGCCCTGTTAAGCATCATTGCACAAATATGCTTCTTAAAATAGAGGCCCAAACGCTATACTTTGAACAGGGAGTGATAAAAGTGTGAAGAAGAATATTTCAGGGATATCAAATTGGTTTTCTCTCGGGTGCCATTGATTGCTGGAAGTTGACTGAAGTGCTGTGTTGAGAAGGCAGCCAACCTGCCTTTGAACTCAGCAAGGAAGAGCACCTCAGTCTATCAACTGTGCTTTCCGGGGGCAAGAGGCTGAGACAAGGGTGGCCCCATGTCACGTGTGTGCAGGCTTAGAAATGGAAACCCTCTTACTCCGGACTTCTGTCTGTGACAAAAGCCTAAATCAAAATAGCTTTTTGGCAGGAAAAACTTTTTGGCAGGAAAAAAGTGCAATTGACATATCAAACTCCATTTCCCCATATTTTGCAAAACATTCAGAATCTAGAGCAAAGAGGGAAACATTGGGTTCAAATACAGAAAGTCTCCTGCATACAAACCTTCCAGTTGCAAGCTCTCAAAGGTGAGATCGTGCCCCTGTATGCCAGTTGTTGTGGTGTTGTTATTTTAGCCCCTAAGTCGTGTCAGACTCTTTGCATGGACTATAGCCCGCCAGGCCCCTCTGTCCATGGGATTCTCCAGGCAAGAATCCTGGAGTGGGTTGCCCTTTCCTTCTCCAGGGGATCTTCCCAACCCAGGGATCAAACCTGAGTGTCCTGCAATGACAGCCAGATTCTTTACCACTGAGCTATCAGGGAAGCCCAATACTACCATACATTTCAAAGTACTGTACTGTAAGATTAAAAATGTTTTCTTGGGACTTCCCTAGTGGTCCAGTGCCGAAGACTGTGATCCCAATGCAGGCACCCTGGTTTCAAACCCTGGTCAGGGAACTAGCTCCCACAGGCAGCAACTCAGAGTTCACATGCTACAACTAAAGACCCAGTACAGCCAAATCAATCAATAAATATATTTTTAAAGGTTTCTTTATATTCTGTTTGCTTTTTATGTATTATTTGTGTGAAAAGTATTATAAAGCTATCATAGTACAGTACTATATGGACGATTAGGTTAGTTGAGTAGATACCTAGGCTAACTTTGTTGGACTTGCGAAAAAATTGGCTTTATGAACGTGCTCCCAAAATGGAACTCATTTGTATGTAGGGGACTTACTGTATTCCAAACCATATGTATTTAACTCAATGAGAGAAACTCACTGTGACAAATAAGAAAAAAAAAAATAGAACTGCTTTAACAGTCTATAAAGCATGGTTTGAGGAGCTGTCTAGAGGCATTTATACTCAGGCAACTCCAAAATTTTAAAAAATCTAGTAAAATTCTTCCCCGTATTAACTTTGATCACATTTTCCTTCCATAGTCTGCCCTCTGGTGATGTTACTAGGCAGCAAACTCATCTGAGATTGAACTGATTGAGGGAAAAGGGAAGGGTAAGGAGAAACTAATCAAATTCTGCTTGAGGATCTTCTCATGACCGAGGGAAAATTCCATGGCTGCTCCTGCTGCCGATGCTGATGGTGATGCTGGTGGTCATGATGTCGGTGGCGACAGTGATGGTGGTGACGGCAATAATACCTAATCTTTATACAAGGTGAGAATTTAATTGCTCAGTCCTGTCTGACTCTTGTAGCCCCACAGACTGTAGGCTGCCAGGATCCTCTATCCATGGGATTTCTCGGGCAAAAATACTGGAGTGGGTTGCCATTTCCTATTCTAGGGGATCTTCCTGAGCCACGCATCAAACCCAGTCTCCTGAATTGTAGTCTTTACTGACTGAGCCACCAGGACTTGCCCCCAAAGTGTGTCCCGTTCTTTGGACTGTAGCCCACCAGGCTTCTCTGTCTATGTTATTTCCCAGGCAAGAATACTGGAACAGGTAGACATTCCCTTCTCCAGGGGATCTTCCTGACCCAGGGATCAAACCCAGGTTTCCTGTATTGCAGGCAGTTTCTTTACCCTCTGAACCACCTTCTAGAGTCTCTAATCTATATATAGTATTCCTCTATGCCTGGTTCTATTGCAAATGCATTACATACGTTCATTAGTTTCATCATCATAACAGTCTTATGGGGCAGGTACTTCATGTTGCCTAGTAACATGTGAGGAAACTAAAACACAGAGAGGTTATGTCGCTTGGTGAAGTAACACAGCTAATAAGCAGAAAGAAACTTAGAGGCTCCTAACGTGCATGCATGCTTAGTCACTCAGTCATATCCAACTCTTTGTGACCCCATGGACTGTAGCCCACCAGACTCCTCTGTCCATGGGATTTTCCAGGCAAGAATACTGGAGTGGATTGCCATTTCCTTCTACAGGGATCTACAGATCCCAACCTGGGATTGAACCCACGTCTCCTGCATCGGTAGGCAGATTCTTTACCACCACAAAGTTAAAGTCGTCACTAGAAATTATTACCATGAACGTTTCAACTGCCTAGTAACTGTAGCAGGCTCCCAAATAACAAATACACATATTTAGAAACAGGCTTAGAAATGTTTATGTGGGTTTAGGTATTCACCTACTAAGTTCTTAATAAAAGGGAGAGGGGGTAAGGTTGGGAGGGTAAAGAATACTATAAAGTTGCTCTTGGGGGAGTTGATTTGTCATGATTTCCTCAGAATTTGGCATAGTGTAGATGTTCGGTGGTGGCGTCCCAGGTGGCACAGTAGTTAAAAATCCTGCCAATGCAAAAGACTCGGGTTCAATTTCTGCGTCAGGAAGATCCCAGAATAAGAAGTGGCAACCAGGTCCAGTATTCTTGCCTGGGAAATCCCACAGAGTCTGGCAGGCTACAATCCATGGGGTCACAAAAGAGTCAGATACTTAGTGGCTAAACAGCACAATGAGTCTGTGAAATATATCAGGGACAGTTCTAAAGTAAGAACTCTGAGGTTACAGGTGTTGCAAAGAGTCGGACATGACAGAGTGACTGAGCGTATGCACACAGGTGCAATGAATGCTTTCTAACAATTAATTAAAGGATGAACACGTGAAGGGCTTCCAGGTGGCTCAGTGGTAAAAGATTTGCCTGCCAATGCAGGAGACTTGGATTAGATCCCTGGGTCAGGAAGATCTCCTGGAGAAGGAAATGGCAATCCACTCCAGTGTGCCTGACTGGAAAATCCCGTGGACAGAGGAGCCTGGTGGGCTACAGTCCATGGGGCCACAAAAGAGTCAGACACGACTTAGTGGCTAAACAACAACAACGAATACATGAAATACACCAGGGATATTTCTAAAGTAAGAAGTCTGGCTGTACATTGGTGATGTCACTGTCAGCTTCTTTCAGTTTCCATGGATAAAACATTTATAGTCATATTTTTCATGGATTCCTCACCCCATTATGAAATCATTGCATCCCTGAGTGGATCGGCAATACTAAGGGTTTGTGGATGACATTTCCATTGCGTAATGACATGTGACTATTGCTCTGATATGGTTAATAGAATTATATCAATGGGTGGGATTTGAAAGTAGATGCTTTATTAGGGGCACAGTGTGATTTGTAGGTAATATCAGCTGGTGATAAGTCATTCATAGAGTTCAGGTAGGGTGAAAAAGAGTGCCTGCCTCACGGCTTTTGATTGGGAGATCTAAAGAGCTTCCTTGAGCAGATACTATTTGAGAATCGGGTGCATCAAGGAGATGATGAAGATGGGGAGCCTATTTGTGCAGTATTTACAGGAAGAAGGTGTGGCCTGGAGGATGAGAAGGAATATATAAAAAGATGAGTCTGCAAAGGTACGAAAGGCGTCAGGTGGGAACTTTTAAGCCAGGGAAATGATCTGGGCTTTCGTTTTAAGTGCTGTGAGAAAGCTTAGGTGAGTGATGGTAGATTAAGGGAGTGGCATGATGTGACATTGCTTCCCTGGTGGCTTAGATAGTAAAGAGTCTGCCTGCAATGTGGGAGACCTGGGTTCAACTCCTGGGTCAGGAAGATCCCCTGGAGAAGTGACTGGCAATCCACTCCGTATTCTTGCCTATAGAATCCCATGGACAGAGGGGCCTGGCAGGCTACAAGGCGTGCGGTCACAGTCGGACATGACTGAGTGACATCACTTTCACTTTCACAATGTGACTGTTTTTAAAGAACACTGGCTGTGTTTGGGGAACTGTTGAAAAGGACGAGCAAGGGAACAGGGGAACAACGAGGAAGGTTCCTGGCAGAAGTGCAGGCCAGCAATCATGGCAGCTTCTCTAGGCTGGAAGCAGAGAGGGTAAAAGATGGAAAGCAGGGTGAGGATGTTCCCCAGGAAAGTGGGCAGGACGTTTTCTAGGGTTAGTGGAAGAGGAGACAGAACAGACAAGGATTTGATATTTGGCCTGATCAGCTCAGGCCTAATGATAATGGTGTCGTTTATGGAAATGGGAAGACCAGGGATGGAGTAATTGGTTTTTTGTTTTTTTTGGGGGGGAAGTAGAGCAGGATCAAGAGTTTATTTCAGCCCCATTGATTTTTAAATGCCTATTTGACATCGGGGAGGAATTCCAAGCAGGACTTTGGAGATTCAGGCCCAGAATTCTGGAGAGGGGTCAGGTCCAGAGAACCAGTGGGGCAACCCATGCGTGCGGGTAACACGCTCACATCTGCACAGCACCTCCCAGCTCGCAGAGCCCCTGTGTACTAGCTCACTAACCTCATAGCCATCTCATGTCAAGGTTATTACTTCTGCAACGTTACTGATTAATAATAATGACACCTGGCCTGTGTCTCTCCCTTGAGAGTTTCCTAAACACTTCCCCATAGACTGACTGTCCCTGTCACACTTTGCTCCTATTAATCACAGGGCAATGGTGGCTGTAGACAGGAATCATACCTGTCGGAGCATCCCTGCAGAGGCACACAGACGTCATAGGGTATGCACACCTGTGTGTTGTTTCCTCCAGTGGCTCAGTCCTGTCCGCCTCTTCGCGACCCCATGAACTGCATGCAGCTCGCCAGCCTTCCCTGTCCTTCACTAACTCCTGGATTTTGCTCAAACTCATGTCCCTTGAGTCAGTAATGCCATCCAACCATCTCATCCCTGTCTCCTTTGGCCTTCAATCTTTCGCAGCATCAGGGTCTTTTCCAATGAGTGGGCCCTTTGCATCACGTGGCCAGAGTATTGAAGTTTCAGCTTCAGCATCAGTTCTTCCAATGAATATTTAGTATTGACTGGTTTGATCTCACGCCAAACCAGTTTTTTCTGATGGACATGAGAGCCCTCTGCTGTTCAGACGGGGCATATCCATTAAACTATGATTTTTTTTTTCAGCTGAACGGACTGAAAGTATTGAATCAAAGTTCTCTCTAATTTTTGAAAAATGCTCCTGGGATAAAAACCTCACGTGATGACCATTAACAATGTTTAAAACAACTTAATTTGTCATAGCTAATAATAGCCCTGTGGTATAAAACCCCATATTTTATTTTTCAAGAAAGCAATGTTGAGTGAGAGAAACAAAGAGCTTTAATGCTTGAGATGAATTTTTTTCCACTGCCAGTTACCCAAATCCAGGTATGGTTCTAGAAGAAAAACAGCAATTTCATGGCTAAAACAGGAATGAAAAGTGCCAAAACTTGCCACATAGGACTGCCACATGAAATCAGTAATTGCATATTTTTTTTTAAAAAAATTGAGAAACCTGGTCATATTTACCTGGATATTTTATCAATTGGTAGAGTGGCATCTAAAGGATGTAGATGTATTGGGTTGGCCAAAGCGTTCATTCGGGTTTTACCATAAGATGGTATGGAAAACCTGAATGAGCTTTTCGTCCAGCCCAGTATAAAGGGAAGGGTATGAATTGCTCCTTGATGAGGCTGGAGGTTGCAGAAACAAGTGGTGAACAGTAAGCTGGACAGAGGAAATACTCTGAAACCAAGAGAATCTTAGACGCTTGGGCTGGGACATAAAACTTGACAAGAGCCCTGGCTGGGCTGACTGAGGGTCTTCAGCATCACCGGGGTTTGACCTTCCCTGAGCTGATGGTTGTTGCTATTCAATCGCTCAGTCATGTCCTACTCTTTGCGACCCCATGGACTGCAGCATGCCAGGCTTCTCTGTCCTTCACTATTTCCAGGAGTTGACGGTAGGGATCCCAGCATGCTTATTGACTGGACAGTGACATTCATGATCAGGTTTGAGCTCTAACGGAGGTTTTGAAAGACGCATGTAAGGCATTCAGAGGCAGGAAATGGCAGGATTAAAAACAGCCCCCTTTAGGCAGCTCCTGAAGCTAGCAGGAACTTCCATGGTGGTCCAGTGGTTAAGACTCTGAGCTTTCACTGCTGGGGGCACAAGTTCCATCCTTGGTCCAGGAACTGAGATCCCTGCGTGCAGTGTTGTGGGCCAAGAGGGAAAAAAAAAAAAAATCCATCAAAGAAATCGCAAGCTCCTTAGCCAGGGTAGTGATAATAGGGAAAAGGAGACAGAATAAAATTGAGATGAAGGAAGGAAAAAAGAGGAAAGATGGTTGGGAGAATGGAAGGACATTGTATAAACTATTACAAAGAAGACTTAGAAAATAATTTCCATTTTTATCAACAACAACAAATATTATGTACTTCTCAGGTCTACCTTTATACACCCCATCTTCTCACTCCTAGGG